AAAGAATACACAAGATAAAACACAATTACAATACACAGAGGAGACTGTGGATGGTGGTACTAAGTATAGTAGGAGCACAGGGGTAAAGAATGGAACCAGTGAAGTAAAGGCTCTTCTAAAGAAAGAGGTTTTGAGTCTGGATTTGAAGGAGTTTAGAGAAGGTGACTCTCTATCCTTGGGCAGAGAGTTCCAGAGCTTGGGGCCATAACAGGAGAAGGCCTTGTCACCCTCAGAGTGCAGACGGGCTTGGGGGATATAAGTCACAGAGCTAGGGCTGCTCTTTCCGAATTATTTTTCCTGCCATTTTCACAATCCTGGACAGTTTGGTTTTGCTTTTCAACCCCAGGTTTCCATACCAAACTGTCCTGTTAAATGCCAGGATGCTCTCAACAAGGCTTTTATATGCCACCTCTAGGACATTTTGACTAACATTAAAGTTCTCGAGTCTTTGAATAGAAAAAGCAGCCTCCGATTTGCTTTCTCAAGACTGTTGTCTATATTCTCAGTGTAACTCTGACCAACAGTCGGCACTAATCAGGTCAGCCTGCCCTTACTGGGGCGCTTGCCAGCGGCCGACTGGCAGAATTACCTCGGCAGGCTTCCAGCTGGCCAGTCAGCACCTTCCTGATCTCCGACACCCACAGATTCTTCACGTCCATGGAGGGGGCCTGGCAAGAAGGGGCAGGCAAGGCTGTTACAAGTGCGCCCCGGTGCTCCAGGGCCCGGTCCTTGAGCTCCTAACACTAGAGACTCAAAGCTAGAGCTTTGATTCGGGCTGGTCCTTCTGCAGGATGCCCGGCCTTGGTGAGCTGCTATGTGCTCACTTTCTAAAGCAAGGGCGAGCAGCTCCCATCCTCACAGACCACGCCGGCTTCTCGTTTTCATTCGGGCTCCGATTTTAATGACTTCCCTAAACTAACTGTTTAGATAAGAAGTTGAATTACCTGTTTCATGGCTTCTGGAGTGCTGGAGCTGCGCATCCTTGTTATAGAGCAATAAAGACTTTAATATTAGCTATGGTCCCTTTAAAGCCTTCTTTTAAGCTATTTGCCGGTAAGTGAAGTGCCTTGATATGGAGAATTATCCCTGAAGAGCCTGAAATGGGGATAGCAGGTCCCATATCTCAGTGCAGCACAATCTCTCTGTTGCAAACAAGCGTTCTTCACCCCTTCAGTGGTTCAACAGTGCCACACAGTGGTAAAAAAATGGGTGTTTTTCAATTGATTTGTTTGCTATCTATTGGTTCTACCGCCAGGAAATTTTAGCAAATAAAAAAAAAAGGTAAAGCAGTAAAGTTGGGGCGCAAGTGAAGATAATTAAGAAATACTAGGCAATGTGTCTCCCTCCTGAGGAAACAGGCAGAACTCCAATGCAGCAGGAATGAGCATGATTCTCAAGGTTACATAAGGACTTGTACACTATAGGTCAACAATGAGGTTAACAGTATCACTGACCTTCATATAAAACTGGGAACTAAACTGTAATCAATAAGCATTGCATTTGCAAGTCATAATCTTAAGTCATAAGATTTCAGAAGCAATAGGTGAGTGTTCAGAAGAATCCCTTGTGGTATATTTTTGTTCGCACAATTATCATGATAAATGTTTAAATTTGCAGTAGGGACCAAACTCATTGAAATCTACAGAAGCAATGCAAGGCGTTTCCACCTCGACACACCACTGCACAGTCCGCGTAGGTCCACTGGCGCTCATGGAAACCATACCTGGATAATGTAGACCTCTTCTCTGCCACTGTACCACACCTCGAACTTCTTGTTGTCCCCCTTCACATTTTCCGTGATGCCAACAGCACTCATCTGCACCAAGAACACAAACCATGACAGCTCTTATGCCGCAGCTGACTCACTGCAGTGTCAGTGGGTTTGCACAACTGCAGGCCTTCTCACGACTGAAAGCGTCTGGCTCCACCAGCATTTTCACAGGAAGTGTGACCAGCATGAACTGTGCTCTGAACACGATGCTCTAAATGAGGGACACTCCACAAAAGACCTTTTGCCTCAGGTTAGGGCATGCTTTCAGCCAGCATTCTGCATTCTGTGATTGATTACTAAACTGAAAATCCATTAGCTTTGCTTAAGTTCTACAATAGGACAAAGGTTTCTAAAGTAAAGATTACCTCTTCAGCAGTGACGGGGGTGTCAGCATCCAGGATGCTGGATCTAAAGGCCTGTGTTCGTCCCTAGAGATCCAGGGACAGGCCAGGAATGGGGGCTCCTCCTTCTCCTGAGCTTTGGTTACAGTTACCAAGCAAATTTTACTTTGCTAAACTGATACTTTGTGTAAAATGTTAGATCACATATACCTTTTGCTGTATACCACTTATTTTTCATCCAGAATGACCTCATTGCCACAGCACACACGCCCTCTTCCATGTTCATCATCTCAGCGATTTTCCACTCCTGTGCTGGGTGAGCCCGGAAGCTCGGCGCCCCCACAGCATGACAATAATCTATTATTGCGCTCAGCCTAAAGAGAATTACTGCCTAAATACAGTAGCTCTGTGTTTTCTTGGGGGATCCTCTTCTACATCAGTGATCACCATTTCTGGTACACAAATCTCTCTCGTCCATGAACAGTCTTCATCTCACGAAAGAGCCCCTGTCTGTGACCTTATTTCTCTGGGAATGTAATAATTCCTAAAAAAATGCTTACCAGCTTGGGCAAGGCATAAAACCTTAGGGCGGTAAATTTGAGCTGTTCTCAAATTTATGATGGTAATTTTGCACATTAACTCTTGTTCTAAATTTCTCTTGCTGTGGTTTCACCAGTGCGTTACTGTTTTTTTTTACTGTACTGGAACCTGAGGAAACCACATTTACTATACTGACACATAGTATAGTATTGTTATGGTATATCATGCCTTTCCCTTGTTCCAGCGCAGCAAAGTCTGACAATTTTACAACAGCAGAACCACAGTAAGACGTGTAGAAATCACTGCAGCACTGTGAGAGACGTTCTCTTTCCTCTGAGCCCCACAGCCTGCCAGCAGCCTTATCTGGAAGATTAGCTCAGCCGTCTTGACTCTTCCTATATCAAGCTATGATGACTGAGGTCGAACTGGTCCCACCCCTAACCATGAAACAGATCAAACAGACTTGCAGGCCAGACCTGCCAGAGTGGCCGTACCTTCGTCAGAAGCCCCACACCACCAGGGAAACGTGAGCTTCAATGTGAAATAAGCTTGCAAGGACCCAGCTGCACACCGATAGCCGGGCGCAGCAATTGCAGGGTGATAGAACTGCCCGTTTCATGTTTTGTCGTCAGATCATTTACATTTTATTTCCCTAGTGGCTCTTACGTGACTACAGTGACAGTGGAATAATACAAGCCATTCTTTGTCCTGCTTTGATTTCCTTTAAAATTTCAAACGAAAGTCAACGCCTGTACTGATGACCTTGTTTTGAAGAGGCCCGCTGGGCCGTCCTTGCCGAACCTGACTGACAGGGTGCCTGGCTCGGTTTCCCTCGGCTACGGCAGCCCTGCTAGGCCCCCGCGCGCGTGTCCCCGGAGGAGTGGGGTTTCTGGCAGGCCCAGCGTGGAGCGATAGCGGGGGAGCAGGGTCTTACCGCACCTTCAGCGAGTGCTTGTAGCTGTACGAGGGGGTCTTCTCGTGCCCTTCGGAGGCCTCCTCGCGCTTCTTGCAGAACAGCAGCGTCTTGTTGTACAGGAAGAGGTGTCTCTGCATGGGCTTGAACCGCGCCAGGTCCTTCACCTTGTTGTGGCCCTTCTTGTGGTCCGTCCACACGTTGAAGGAGCCCTGCATGAGGAGCTTGCCCAGGTCATTCAGGTTCCCCTGGAGAAACAGGGCAGAGCGGCATTTTATCAATGAAGCTTGTCACGAGGACACACAGCGGGAAGAGCCACAAGCAAGACACGCTTCCTTGGTATTTAGGAGTTTATCCATCCAAGGATCTTATCCAGTCTCTTCTTGAAGAAGAAGACAGGGCCTCTTGCACAATGATTTTGTAGCTTGTTCCCCACTCCTACCTCCCTTTGTGTAAAGACATGCCTCCTCTTCCCAGCTTTAAAACATAGCTGGCATTTGTCAGGCTCAGGCTCACCCCAGGGGGGTAAAGTTACAGGTACAGTCCAGCACGTGCACTTGCTGTGAGGGTGTAGCTGTGAAGAAGGAGGATATATGAAGTTTCTTAACATGCTGGACTTCAGTGTGGTGCATTCCCAGTCAAGGGAGTTTTGGCAGTTAACAGATATGTTTTTTCTTTAAATCTACTTTTGACTTTTCATGTGCACAGGAAGCTAGCAAATTTACAGAACCCACAGACTCGCACAAATGTCAAACCATCCTGCTGGTTTCCTTTCTTTCAATTCCTTGCACTCTAATAAAGTACACTGACCCCCCTGTGTGGCTTATCTGTAACTGAATCTGCTTCACTTCTGCTTTGCAATGGTAACTAAGGGTGACTTTGCAACGAGAACAGCAGCTTCTCCTTCTCTGACAAGTTGATTTGTTTTACCTCCTTCTAATTGTTTATGTACAAGAGGTATACCTCTGTCCTGAAGCAGGCCAAAGCTCTTGGTTTCTAACAACATGAAACAAACAACACTCCCATTCCTGTGTAGCGCTTGAAGGAAAATACAATTGCTGGCTGTCTTGCTCTTTTCCCAAACTGCCTTTCAGTCATGCTATCAGTTTTGCCTGGACAAAAACCAACTGTAAATAAAAAAATACAAATTATAGGATCGACATTAAATTTCAAAGCAATTTCACAGTTAACATAACGAGCAGCAGAAATTAATAAGCTGCAACGGAAAGGTCACTTGTCTCCACTGTTGTTCCTCTTTGCTGTCTTGTGAATAATGCTAATTTCAATAACACTGTAACCCTGCAGTATCTATAGAAATTAAAACAATATTCTAATTACTAAAACCAATAATGTGTCTGTACAACAAAAACACAGCAAGGCTGATGTCTCACATAAAATGGGAAAGAGCAAAACAATTCAGGACTGCTGAATAGCAGTAAGTTGTGTTGTCCCATTGCTATTGTTTCTCAGCTTGTTGGTTTTCTCAGCTTGTTGTGAATGCTCACCCGCACCCCTTGACAGTACACACCTCAAATCCTGTGATGGCGATCTGGTGCATGGAATCGTTGACTGACTTTATAATGTCCAGCACAGTGGCCAAGGCCTCTTCCAGTTCCACTGTTCCCTCTGAGCTGCACTTCAGCATTTCCTACACAGAAGAGCAGCAGGCAGTGAGTCCGCACCTCAGAACAGGCCAGTGATCTCTCCCCAGAGGATGACTTTTTTGTGTTGTGTAATTTAATCTGCTGTTAGACTGTACCCAGATCCTGCTTAAGGGGAGACAATATGTCAGACATTACCAGTAAAAAGGTCCCAGCAAAGGTGTGTTTTGAAGAAAAATATTAAGAAATCTCAGAAAACATTTATGTGCAATATGGTTCTTGAAAGACTATTTCACCATTTTTACATGGCATTTTCATTTGCTGGTTGTATATCAACTTAGAAAATAACTTTAAAAAAAGTTATTAATAAAAGCACATTTTTAACAATTTGGCAAACTGTGACACAGATGAAAAGACAACAGATACAAGGAGAGAGCTGACAGACACAAGAGGAAAACAGTTGTTAAGATAAAAAAAGCTCTCTGACCACACCAGCAAATTGTAACTAATTGTAACTTAGCTGTGTTACTTTTTATAAGAACAATGTTGGTAATGAATACAACAAAGGCAAGGTAAGGGTGTCTCAGTCTTCATCCACATTTGAGAGAAACAGGAAAGAAACAGATGATTTTAAGCTCCTGTTCGACCCACCAGCAAACTTTCTTTGCAGCAAACATTTAAAGTTGTTAGACTTGTTAGTCACATATTTCCCAAAACATTCTATTGCAGGAGATTCCCACTGTATGCATAGGTGGGTACTGGCAACACCCAGAGAGCAATCTGCATCTGGAGTTGCTGGTGTGGAGCTGTGTATTTCCTGTATGCAAATCTAACTGTTGAAGCGCCTATATATAACAAAGGCAAACTGTTTGCTTTCCATTCTAATAATGTTTCTTTATTAGCCCTATACAATTTCTTGCATTAGGAATTTGTCTTTTCACATACCACAGCTTTTCTCCATGGAGACACAGACAGGGAGAAGCTTGGGGTCAGAGCACAGGGTCTGCCATTGTACAGCACCCCTGGAGCAGTTAGGGTTAAGGGCCTTGCTCAGGGGCCCAACGGAGTAGGATTCCTCTGCCAGCCGCAAGATTTGAACCGGCAACCTTCCAGTCACAAACACATATCCTTAGCCACAGAGCCACCACTCCGCCCTGTTCTCAGGTTTGTAGGAAACAAATCAAGCTCATGACACTGCCCCTTGTTGCCATAGCCACCTGCATGTGGACTGATGCTGGTTTTAAGACCATTTCATTTACCTTTAACATCAGCTGGTACTTGGTGATCCTCTGGACAGGCTTCAGTAAGTAGGCATCCAGAGAAAGCTTGTGGTCCAGTTTTTTCTGGCATTCCTACAGATACAACAACAACACTGAAAAATGTAGTTCAGCCTAACAGTCTGTATATTACTATATATAAAAAAGACTGGGTCTCAAGGCACACAGGGAGAGGACACACCTAAATGCATCAGTGCCTAGAGATCTTCCACTAAGTAAGAATAAAAAAAGCACTTGGTCTATCTTCCAAAACACTTATTTAGATGACAAGAGTTAAGGAAACACATAGTCCAGCCGGCTTGGCTCCAACAAGTGTATATCACTGCATATCCTGTCCGTCGTGCTGGGAAAAAGCTTTTAAAATATTTAATTTTCTCAGTATTTCTTATACTGTTGCTTTATGAACCTAGCTGTGTGTGTTCGGGAGACTGGAGACTATTGGAGCACTTAGTGAAAACCCAAACGAACACAGCGTGAGCATGCAGGCTCCTCACAGACAGGCACGGAAAGCTTGAATCAAACCCGGGACTGTGGAGCTTGGACGCTACAGAGCCAACCACAAGGCCATAACGTAAACCGTAACGTAAAATTGTCATCTTTTGGAAATGCAACACAATGTTTGCAGAGAAGAGCTGAGACCAATATAAAGGCTTTCTGCTCTGTTGTTGTCTATTGTTACTAAAACACAGAGAAATCTCAAGGCTTCCCTGTCCTAGTTCTACACGTCACCGGAGTCTGTGCAGTCTCCCAGTCTCTGGAAAAGCGGAGCAAAGAGCACCTGAAAGAAGGGACTGTCTCCATGCTGTCTCCACAGGGCCTCAGACTTTGGCTTGTTCTGACAGTACTTCTCATAAATCTGCAGATCTTCTTTCTGAAAAAAACACAACATTATTATTATTACTGTCGTTGTTGTTGTTGTTGTGTTGTTGTTGTTATCATTTATTATGTTGTTGCTTATTATTATGTAAATGTTGTTGATCTAAATCCAACAAGTCATATTCTACAAGTCATTAAAGGAATACAGTCTTTTCAAATAATAGATTTTTAATTTAATATTGAAATATTGTTTTCTGGATACTGATTAATATTTGAAGATTTATTCTCAAATATAAATCAATATCCAGAATCCAGAATTCTCTGAATACGTGTGATGGACTTGATTTACCCTTTTCAGAAAGCAGGTTCCTACTAATTCGGGACTTTCTATGCAATTTTCCAGTTCTTTCAGAAATGTCCTAAAATAAACATAAAGAAACAAATAAGAACAGGTGCTCAGAAATCAAAAGGCAACATGAACCACAGAACATTGGCAAAACACTTCTGGGGAAAAATAAATCGAACTAGATACAAAATCTGAAACATTGTGAAACATAAAAAATACTCTTAGAAATATGCATTTAAAATCTAATTTCATTATAATCACTTATAACTCTTGAAGCAGCTGCAGAAACTGTATAAACTATGCGTTATTATCAGCATACAAACATATTAGTAGGTCAAGAATGTGTGTCAAGGCTCTCTGAATATCACTGAAGAATAACGAAGATTTCAAAAAGTGTCGGATAAGATTGACCTACTTCCATTCCACGCTCTCCAGATTTTACAAAGCTATCACCTCAAAGTTTTCTCCACCCACCAGTTTTTCCACTATCAGACTCATTCAAATAGAAGGTTGATTGATGTGTGGAAACTGAACACCTTGCAGGACACAAAATTCATTTTATTGCACACTTGGGGACTTTAGATTAGATTTAGATGAGGTCAATGCATTATAGACACTATAAATGGAGATTCTAGACACAGAAATCATCAATCCATTCTCCCCTTTGCAATAACTGCTAGTAGAGAATCACAGAGCTCCTCTGAGCAGACAACGGGCAGAAAGCAGACATCCATCCATTTTCCAACTGCTTTATCCAGTGCAGGGCTGCTGAGGAGCTGGAGCCTATCCCAGCAAGAACAAAACAAACATATAGGTATCGATCTTTAATAAATACGCCAATAAAAATAAATGAAGGAAGTAGCTATAATTTCCCTTTGCACAGGTGTGCAGTATGTACTGTATATGCTGCTGACTGTACCGCATATGGAGGAAGGTCTCCTATTACAGTGCAGGAGATATCAGGTGTTGGGGCTGGGTGACGTCTGAGCGCTGTGGGGAGCTTTGTTAAGCATGTGCTGTTTGCTGTAACTAAATGTAACTTGAGAACAACTTCATCACAGGGAAGCAAATATTACCGTGAAGTCTCACAATTTGCCATCTGATTTCAAACCTCGAAAAAAAAAACATCCATAGGCAATGCTGCTTGTTGCTATAGGCACTTTGGTTTTGTTCTGCTTTCACTTTGAAAAGAGTGTGGATTGTAGGAATTTCTTTTGTCCTTGTGTGTAGTGTCTGATTTCATTGACACTGGCTATACTCTCTCCTCCCCTCCTGTCCTGGACTGTGCTGTTCCTGCCTTGTTTGTGAAATGCAGGCTCTTCCCCGGAGCACACGGACACCAGGGAACCTGTGAGTGACAGCTGCCCCCCCACCTCACCCCCCGAGACTGCCTGCTATGCCTCTACTCTGCGCCCCTTGCTGCAGCAGAGTCGGGGCAAGCCACATGTATTTTGGGGTGCAGGAACAAAAGCGGGGAGGAAGAGGAGGTTTTTCTGTTCAGCCTTCTCTGCGTCGTGAAGGTGACAACTCCCAACAGTAGTGGCAACGCAGGCCTGGCAAACATAAGCTCTCTGACACCAGCGCTGGAGCAGGGAAGGTCCTTCAGACAAGACGTTAGCTGATTATACTGATGGAAACCAAGTAAGGCCTCCCTTCAGCGGGACAAAGTCCACTCCTACTGTGTATGACAAGCACTTCGTTATTGTTTGGGACAAAAGCCATTATATAACAGGAATCAATTATAATTACTATGGATACAATAATCTTGATCATTACTCTCTTAACGGTGCAGGAAGTAGATATGCACAGGGAGAGAAAATATATAACGAAAAATAATAACATACAGTAGCCTCAATAAAATATATTATACGTATGTCTCATGCTATAAAAAAACTATCAAGTGTCTTTCCTTCTGCTGCACTGAAATGGCCAATAAGCTAAAGAAACAGAAAAGCATGCTACCTATAGTGAAACTCATAGATCTCTGAGAGATTGCCAAACAGCACTTCTTTCTTCTGGTGCAGAGCAGTGGGAATGAGATGGGATAGCTCTGTATTGTCCAGTTCTGCAGCATAACCCTAAAACAGAAAAAAAAAACATTCTTTATGATTCTTCTGAAAGTCGTATCATTTTTACACTGCCGATTTCAAAATTTCTGTTCACATAAAAACCTGACCTTTATAGAAGAGAAGAAAAGAGACACAATGTTTTGGCTCCGGAGCCTTCTTCAGGTGTAAATGCACCTGTGCCTCTTTTCTTTTCAGCGTGGAATAAACCTTTACTTGTTCCTTTGAAACCTGACATTAGTCATGCACGAGCCATTTTGTCACGCTGCTTAGATGATGTTACACCTGACATGTGACAGGCTTGCAGTCGTGTTGGTTGGCTCTCGTCAGCAACTCCGCGTGTTTGCCAGTCTTAGTTTGGTGTATTAACGGTCGGGGAGCCAGTGCGACTGCCCAGGTGAGGAATCTGGAGCCTCGCACCTGAAGCTAATGTTCGATGTCTGCAGTGTCACAGATACCAGTCTGATTCAGAGGACCTGATAAGATTGCATTGCCTCTTTAAAAGCTGAAACTCCATTTTATACTCTCCTCCTCCTATACTACACTTTTACTTTTGTCTAATTTCAAATTTTAATATGTGTGTAGCTCTGGCTTGTGTTTATTTATTATTTGATTTTTTTTTTATTGAGACATGAGACAATGGTTAAGGGCTTATACAAAATAATATTTATTATATCAGAAATAACAATGTTCTTCTTCAGGGAAAGCACCTTAAGGAACAGGACAAGAGGCTTTTTCCGTTCTTATAAATTATAACGTCAGAGACCTGATTTCAACAAAGGAGGGATTCTACAAATATTGTTATTACTCTGCAGCCTTGACAAACACAGCCATGACTGCTTGCACAGAAAACTAGAGCCACCCTTTACAAACATCGCCTGTTTTGAGTTTAACTGTAGTGAGAGCAGAGCTACAACATCTTCAGACTGCACAGCAAACGCCTTTTCTGTCCTTTTAAATGGAGAAATTAAACCTTCCAGATTTGACAGAGATAATACCAGTTCACTATTTCATGTTTTTATTTACTAGGAAATAATTCCATCCATTACTTCCACTTATTCCACTACAGTATCTGCATAATTTTTATGTGTAATAAAAACTACTTTATTGTCAAGAACAAATTCCTACTTCTTCGTTTTCATGTATGCTAAGTCTAGAATTGCGCCTGACCAGATCTTACAACAGATGAAAAAAAAAAGAGTTAAGATATGTGAAGATTATCTTCTTAAACTACAAAATTACTGTAATGTTCAAAATCAGGACAATGATCTTGGAAATCCTAACAGCTTGCAATCTGTTTTAATTGAGCTTCCCAGCCCGTTCTTCAAGATGTTTCATTATAGACAATCAATGCATCTCAAACCCACCTCAATGATGCTCTGCAGTTCTTCTACATAGAGTCTCTCAGTCTCTATCAGCTCATGCATAATGTGCCTGCAAAGGAAAATGGTGAACTATTTTAAAAGATCTCCATTGACTGAAAAAAACAAAGCCCAATCAATCTGTCATTTTGAAAGTGAATCTGCGGTCTAGTTCTAATCACTTATTCCGATCGAGACTTAGTACTTTTATCTCCTGATCCTCTGCTCTCTGCTAGTGTGCAGATCCCCTGAAGGGCAGAGAGTGTTTGTCCTTTCAGGGAAATATCTTTTTTTTTGTATGAGCACAATAAAGTTCTCTGCTCTCACTTTTGAATAAAAATGAAACTGCTGATTTAAACAAAATGTTATGTCAGAATTTTTTTCTCATGGCTTTGGGAACTAACACCACACACTTCGCTGCCGGAAGATGAATTCCAACAGAAAGGGCTATGCAGGCATAGCAATGTGAAATGCAATTTTCAAAACAGATTGAACCACAAACTACACTGCCGAAGACACACAGACATCTGGACTTGTGCCACACGATACCCCAGTGATTCAGGAAAGCAGGTTTTCTAACACAAAACCTGAGAGAACAGTCCAGTGGGTAAGGGCATAAGTCTGGCAGGTGAGTGGGAGTGTATATGGCTGTGTTGCGGTGTGGTTTCCAAGGCCTCTAGTAGCTCTTTAAAGTAAACAGTAGAGGAAATAAACTCCAGACTTTTGTGCTTTAGTGTCTTTTTCTAATCCAGTTCAGATGACACAAATTCCAAGGTCATTTAAAGAATGGGTCTGCTATCTAATCTTGATTTTCCTTCTTTTCCAGTAGCTGACTCCACAGGCACAGAGACAGAACCGTGATCGCCTGAGGGCTGATCTCTAGGCTGGAACAGCCCTTCCTCCTTTCAGAAGAGAAGCTCAGCCTGGCTCCAGCTGTATGGCATTCACAGTTCTCTCACTGTTCTCAGCTCAGACTGTTCTCACCAGGACTGCTGCCTCACCTACTGCACAGACGCTGGCCTGCATGTGGCTGCCATACACTGGTAAGCAAATTCAATTATTTTAGTTATACAGAAATGAGAGGTTTCTTTCAATACTGTATGTTGTGTCGTGTTGTGTGCGGGATCATACTGTTTTTGGCACTGCTCTGTGAACGGTTTTTATTTACTGTTGTCCTCACCTGTCTGTAGACGGACAGAACAGGCTGCGGATAAGAATTCCAGTGTACTTGTTACAAATGGCAAATAAACTCCGAACTTATTTTCTACAGTCTAATTATAGTTATCTTTCCAAAATAAGCACAGTGAAGGAATTTCCTTTTAAAGGAGTGTAAAAATTGCACATTAAATTATATTTTAACTTGTTATATTGTGTAGATGTTCAGCTTTGTTTTCCTTTCTTTCAAAGGAAAGCTTTATAAAGAAAAAGACAGCGCTTTGATGTGATATGTGATGCAAGCTTTTTCATGTTGCTTTGTGGGACATATTTGCTTCTGCATATTTTACATCTTTGGTTAAACATTAGTCTTTGCTTCAAGAATTACTGCAAATAATCCACGATTTATGTTTAATGGGAAATTAAGATTAATTTTAAGTCTGTTATTTCTCTGTACAAGGTTTTAGAAAGAGGTTAGATTTTGTAAATTCAGGGGGAGAACTGTGCGAGTAAAAATTAGTAAAATGTGGAGAATGTGAGATTTTATTGAAAAATAAAAATATATACTTAAGAATTGGGTTAGGCAAGAAATTTAACGCTTTATTATTAATACTTTTCTTCATCTTTTACTACATTAATGGTTCAGAAGTATAAAAATGATTAAAGTGAAAACTTTTCAAAAATAAAACTAAGAGAAACATCTTTTTACAAAGGAGAAAATATGGAGAAAGAAATGCATTATATTCTTTTTAACATACTCTTTTACATTTTTAAACATAGACCGCTGCCTTATGTGGAAGTGTATTATTCAAATGTGAGATATTTAATCTACTTAAATCAAGTTAGTTGTCTACAAGTTTCAGTTTATATTAATTGTAAGAGTATACACATTACAAGTTTCAATTTAAAAAAAAATATAAAGCCTAATACAGCAAACATAACACATATTTGTGGGTGTGTATCTACATGTGAGCTTTGTGTAGAAATATCAGAGGAATTTTAAATCGGGTTTCAGTTTTAAATGATACCAGTTTCTCTAGATTGCTCCTATCCAGATGTGTGAGATTTTAAGGGGACAATGAGAAATGTCATTTATTCTTCACAGATGGTAAAAAAATAAGGAATATTTTCCAACTTGTCAACTAAAAAAAAATAGTTAAAAAAGCATTCAAGCACTTAACAAGGGTTCTTAGTGGCTCATTCATCCCTTACTGGTTATGATTAACTATTTTTTCTAAGTATTATAACAATCTAATATATTGGAAAATATAGATATGATTTTTTTAAAAATATCTTTTTATGATTTGTCAATCACACAAATATTTTTAGCAAACAAAACCACATTCTCTGAATCATTGATCATTCGGTTATGAGCAATAATTTTTACATTTTCTTATGACGTGACTGGTAGGCTGGTGATCACTGTTGACTCAGGGCTCAGTTGTTGCATTTTTCAGGAACATGGCTGGTGCTGAGCAGACTTGCTGTTGTAATGGTATTTTTTTTTTGTTGCTGTTGTCATTGTTGCCGAACTGTTACAGAGCTCTCAGCAGTTTTGTTTTGTCTGCTGCTTAAACCCCTCCATTATTGAGGGCCATGCTGCATTCCCGCTGAATCGACTTTTATATTCATTCACAATTAACCTCTCTTGGGACCCTGAGCTGTGGGGGTTTAAACTACGGGTGCAGCTCAGAGCAGGAAATGGTGCAGGGCTCTCCAGAAAAATGGGAACACCAAAGACCGGGAAAAAGGAGACGGAATTATGAAAATAAATCCAGCAGTAAAGTACTGCATGACCTTTACAACACACCTCACCTGGAAGATCGTGGTCACCGTATCAACAATAAGGATATTAGTGCCTTCGAAAGGGTTCAGAGAAGAGCAGCATCTCTCCAGTCTAGAACTAAAAAGATCGAAGGGAGCTCTGATCCAACTGTATAACACCCTCTGTAGTCCCCTGTCAACCCAGGGGACTACTCCCCACTGAGCAGTGAAACTGGAAACTAAAGGGGGTTCATTTAAAAGAGGGAATTGAAAACACGTCTTTACATGAAAAGTTGTGGGTGTCTGGTACAGGGTCTCTTCCCCAGCCAGGTGGTGATTGTGTTTTAGTTCAGAGCAATTTGATTTAATGAATTTAGGAAAGAACTTGTGACTAGCGATAATGCTATAGTTTACAGTCTGTGCTTTTTTACTGTTTTTGGGGGGCTTTAGAAACATAAAGCAGTTTTTTTCCTGTGAAATGATTAATTGACGGTAAAGGGTGTGGGTGCTTAGTGCCATTAATGCTAAAGAAAAGTTGGGTTTTTCTTTCTTAATCTCTTCTATTTCCCACAATACCAGTTTCACAACCCATCCCCAACCCCCCAGCAGTCTTACAAACAGTGCTGCCTGAGACCCGGCGTTGCCCTGCAGTCTGTCAATAGGTGGGGCCTCAGCATGTATTGTAATTCGAGTGCCAGTCAGTTTCTCCCCCTGGGTTTATAATGAAAGAAGAAAGTCCTCATTTCATCTCCATGCCCTCTGTAATAAGACATTTGCAGGATGTCTGGAGAGTGAAGTCATTACTAAAACTGGCATCTAGCCATGATTATTGACCACACTGTATGAATTTGTAGCTGGTTTCTATATCCTATCCCCGCATTTAATCACTGTGATCTGCCTGCTAGCAACACACATGCAGGTGTTAGATATGCACAGCTGGATGGGGAACTGCTCTCTCATGCTTAAAGGGGAACCGCAATGCTCAATGCCATTTTACATTTCAGGAACATAAACGTACAGGTATTTAGAAAGAACAGAAAGATCAGCATTGATGGGGGCATTTCAAACCACAACGAAAGTAAAATGTACACATTAAGTTGTAAAGTAAGTTGTAAAACCGCCAATTATATCACAAAATAGACCAAAGTTCTAGGTATGCGCAAGGCCATATTCTCTGAAGAAGGCAACAAAACTTCCAGTGGAGTGTGCAGCCCTGTGACAATGTGACACTGTAAACAATCAGGCTTGAGAATATATCTCTTTTAATCCAATAGAAATACGGCTCTCGACTTCGAGACGGTTTTGCTGATAAAATGGAACTTATTCGTTAAGTCTGCCTGCAGATCACGTTGGAACATTTCTGTGGTGAAATGTCTGATGCACAACCTTTACTGATTCGCTAGACCATCTCATCACATGAGTCATTACAGTGAGCAGGAAGGGCTGCTTCACGTCACGATTCGGTGAACTCTCGCTGTCGCCTGTGGCAAGACCAGGGGTTCGCGACAACATGGTGACTTACAGCACTTTCAAAAAGTTAATGATTTTGTACTTAATTCGAAATTTTGTGATACCATCAATTAATTTATTTTGATACCAAGATTTGGAGAAACTGGGACTGCAGGTCCCCTTTAAAACTTGCGTCTCCCAGTGGCAGAGCAGTGCATGGCAAAGCAACGGGGTGGCCACTGTGACACTGCAGACCAGCCATTGCACAACTGGGCATGGTAGGACGTTGTGGTGTGTTCCTAGCTGAGTAACGTGGAAACTGAGTTGTGCAGTGAAGCAATACAGCTAGAGTGGTACACTGTGTGTATGAAAACAGTATCATGGCGTTAAAGACCGGTGATACCATCTCTAAATGGTCTGCTCTGTTTTTGCTCTGTTACATTTGCTAGGTCTATTACATGTGCACTACTGTACAACCTTTTCCAGCTTTTTGCAAAATGCCTTGTAGGATTTGTAAGTTTTGCAAGTCTGTTTACATTCAACTAAGCCACTGTTTGCAATGATAAGAGAGGTTTTTCTGCTTGCGTTCAGATAAGCTACATGACTGATGAGATTCATGGAGGTCCATTTGACACCTGCATTTGAAAAAAGCTGCTAGAAACATGTGCGTAGTATAAAACAAAAATTTAACTGTTTGTTATAAAGTACAACTTATTAATTTTAGAAGCTAGTAATAAGTACAACATAAAGCTTATTTGTTCTGGGTAGACAAACATCATTTGATACAGACAGTATTTGTTTAGATGACATGATATCCAACTCGCATGAAACAAACCATGTTCTCAGGCACACAGATGCATAAAGATATGCAATAAGTCTGGAAAATTTTGTATTTAAGAGCTGTAAACAACACCTGAATGACTGCATGTTGGTTGTGCATTTTTGCAACTGGCATTTGTTTTTGTCATTCATGATCTCAAGTTTCTTAATAATTGTATTTCCTTCTATGTTATTGCCTTATTTCAATTTCTTAATCAGCATTTCTGACAGGGAAGTACTCATTCTTGGTCATTTAAGCTGTCCCAGCACAAACTAGGGCTTTGATATCCATTATTCTTTGGCTGCCACCCTATATAAAACCACTTAAAACAAAAAGTAATCATCTCATTTTATTTTAACCTTATTTTAGACTAGCCTTAAAAAGATTATTTTGTTTTTTAATGATGAACTGTACTGGTCTTAACACCTTTCCCTTTTGTGCTTTTTTCTAACTAGGAATAAAGAAATGACCACCAGTATAAACCACTACAATAATCTTTGTGAAAGCAGCACAGAATCACTGTTCAATTTCATAAACCAGGACATCAGAGAGTGACAGTGAGACAGGACAAGTGAATTAACCAGAAATGGTCTTGGCTGACGTCTGACTCCCGTGGAATCTCTTAGGAGCCCTGACTCTTCTCTGTCCTGTGAGAACAATATGAAGGAGCTCACACAAACTGCACATTTTACATTGTGGAAGAACAGCAACGTTTACCCACCGAAGACTTTATACTGGACCTGACAGAGACAAGAGGAAGCTAGGAAGCTTGCAGAATGTTTTTAAATTTCAGAAAAGTCAGGAAATGGAAATGCATGCAGCTGATGACAACGTGCTTCATAGTGTCTATTGTGACCATCTGCTGGGAGCATCTTGATCACAAGGTGGTAAGTCACATGAAGTCCTACTCTTACCGCTACCTCGTGAACAGCTACAACTTCGTCAACAAGAGCATGGTCATTAGCCTGGAAGAAGCTGAAAGCCTACATAACTATCCGTACTTGATCAATCACGAGGGCAAGTGCCAGAAGCAGAATGTGCTGCTTCTCCTCTTCGTGAAGTCGCCTCCCGAGAACGTGAATCGGAGACGGTCAATCCGGTCCACCTGGGGGAACGAGACCTACATACAGGCTCAGCTGCGCGCGACCGTGAAGGTCGTGTTCGTGCTGGGGGTGCACAGAAACCCCCTACAGCGAGAACGGTTCCAGAAGGAGCTCCTCGAGGAGGACAGCACACACGGGGACCTCGTCCAGCAGGGCTTTGTCGACGCGTTCCACAACCTCACCATCAAGCTGATCCTGCAGTTCAAGTGGGCGCACTCCTTCTGCGGCCACGCCAGGTTCGTCATGTCTGCGGACGACGACATCTTCGTCCACATGCCCAACCTGGTTGGGTACCTCCGGGAGATGGAGCACAGGGGCGTCCAGGGCTTCTGGATTGGGCGCGTGCACAGAGGGGCGCCTCCCATCCGCAGGAAAGACAGCAAGTACTATGTGCCTTACGAGATGTACCAGTGGTCCTCCTATCCAGATTACACAGCCGGGGCAGGGTATGTGGTCTCAGGGGACGTAGCAGAGAAAATCTACCAAGCTTCCAGAACTCTCAATGCCACGCTCTACATCGATGACGTCTTCATGGGGATCTGTGCTGTGAAAATGGGGGTGGCAGCCCAGGAACATGTGTTCTTCTCAGGAGAGGGGAAGGCTCCCTATCACAAGTGCATCTTTGACAAGATGATGACCTCCCACGGTCATGTGGAGGATATCCATTATCTCTGGAAGGAGGCCACCAATTTAGAGGTTAAGCACACCTCCTCAGGGATAATAGGAAAGCTGTACTGTACAGCTGTAAAGCTGTACCTTCTTTGTAAACCATATCATTTCAACACTTACCCCTGCAAGGCGGCTTTTTCATAGTGTACACTCCCAGAAACATACTGATTGATTCTATTGATTACCTGCAGCATGTTGTTTTTAGTTTCGCTATATTATTTTCACATTTGCAGCTAGGCATTCTTAACATAAGTACGGTGAGTGTTTTTCCAGGTTATCTTCCACATAGATAAAATAAAGTCAAACTTTTTTTATGTTGCATTGAGTGATAAATGTCCACTCAAACATGGAATAGGAACAAGCATCTACAATTTCAGCTAAAAATCAGGTCCCTGAATCCTCTCTGTGTCTGCTGCTATCAGGGCACAGTGCTCACTGTAGGGTGAGCCAAGAACTGGGTCAAAGATCTGCGACACTGACCAGATGTGAATGTCAGTTTTAAAGCAGTCTAATTCGACCCACACAAACCAGCATCCCATGAACGAATCCTGAATTGACTAGGCTATTTTCTACTTGTTCATTTTGAACATTTTGTAATAACAAGCTTAGGCAGAATTTACTCTTTCTAAGGTCTTCATGAAACCACATCACATCCCGCTCTGTTAAAGAGCGTCTGTAAGGCATCACTCCCAAACCAGATTCATTGGAACTGGAGTGGGAATGAATTTCACAGGGATCTGAAGAACAAATGATGCCCTTAGATTCAGTTGTCATGCTGTTGAGTTGCACGAGAGCTTTCAGTGACTGTGAAGATTTGCTCAGAGGCGTGCCTGAGCTACAGTACAGGGCACCTGCAAGACCAGGTGAGAGATGAACACAGTCCCCCTTCAGATGGGGGGCAGACAGGTGCTTCATGCCAGTCACAGAGCCAGAGGGCGAAGAGCTCATGAGGGGGAAAGACAAGGGGTCCTTCTGCCTAAAGGCAAACACCTTCTTCACAACAACGGTATTATGATGCTGGCTGTAATTTACTGTTTCTATTTTATTTTTACAGAATGATTGTGAGAGTAGCCCTAGGGCTGATAATTGCAAACTGTTTACATTGAGCATGAGTACACAGAGGCTGTACTATGAATGCACTTGTGTGTCCATCTTATGATGTTTTTCCTCTTACCATTTAGTTATAAAAATACACAGCTCAGTGAGCATCTGGCAGTCTGTGTCAAATTCTTAAGTGTGTCAAGCAATTTCTTGTTGATGCCACAGGTCTGATGCCCTAGTGCCGATAATACTATAGACATAATATTATCAATAAAGAAAATCAGATAAATCCAATCTCTATAGACATAATATTATCAATAAAGAAAATCAGATAAATCCAATCTAAGGACAAAATAAATCTTTTATCTGCTAAAAAATTCATACATAACAAATTCAGACCAACTAATAAAAAATGCAAACCACCTGCAATTTCAAAATGTCAAAATAAAGACTGAATGGCAACTCTGTTAACACACTGAGTTTTTAAATTTAGTTTTGGAAATGTTTTAGTTTTGAGTTTATTCCAAGTCAAAACTCTCTCTATATATAAATATGTATTTTCATTTCCCATCATTATGAATCCAGTCAAAAGCCAAAGTATGTTTTACTCTGGAAAGCAGTTGACAACAATACATTCAGGCTATGAAACAGTTAAGATATACAGTTTCTGTGTTCAAGCACCAGAAAAAAGCAGGATACAAAATTCTGCGACTCCACATTTTTCAAAGTTAAAAACATAAAGAGACCACAACCTACAGAGATAACTATCTCTGCATGTTTTAAGCTTTCCCTAAAATGACAGTTCATTAGATTGTAAGCCACAATATTAAAATGTGTTGCTGAACGTGCCGAGTTTCTCTTTCGGTCAGTATTTCCTTAAAACCTACATACAATATCATTGTGTAGCCACACACGAACTAGAATGTTCCATAATATCTCTTTATTTGAGCCAAACTTTTCATATTTTCATAATCTACAAGACTTGTCCGTCAAACCATTTACTGTATTCACTGTCCAAAACTCCATATACTCAGGAGACTTATGTAAGTATGAAAAATAGAATTCACCCACTATCCAAACAGAGAACATCAATCTTTGTGAAAAGACACATTTCCTGTTCTCTGTTCTTGAAAAAATGTTTTGGTTTTTCCCTCTTGGCAATCCTAATAACGTTTTCCAGTTACTCCTGAAGCTCAGTATACACTTTTTTATCTTTGAATCTAGTGCCCTTTTACACAGTTTGTAATGTGCCCTCTTCTTTTGAATTTTTGTTAAATCAAGTTTCTTGAAGTCCTCATTCGAAAATTCAAAAGATAGAATTTGGTTAGATACATTTCTCTTGAAGCAACTGCAATTTACTTCATTTAAGTTAAGCGAAAAAACTTGAAGATACACCTTTTATAAGCATATAAAATGTGAGTCAACAGGTGACAAAGCACTATTGGCCACTTTCCATGCTGAAAGTGGTGATTCTTCAGTGAAATTTTATGTCAAATTCGCAGAAATATTTATCTCAATTTTTATCAATGTATGCATTGTGTATCCGCTTTGCTGCAAAAGTGGTGATTCATGCTTTATCATGTTCTCATTGCATTTTACTTCCCACAAGTTTTCTTTTCTACTTCTTTATAACAGCTCAGTAGTTAAAGACAAAGGTAAAGTAAAATGGCTTGCAAAACAAAGACATTTAAAAATACACATAGGAATTAGCCATCATTAAATCTGCAAAAAGTCAAGTTATAATATTGTAGCGCTTTCGGGTTCATGTGGGTGCGTGACAATATAATACCTGCCTGCGCTCCATCAAAATACGAAACACGGGGCCCCTCAGAAAAGACACACCAGAAAACTGAAGCAAATGGATGGAGAGAGTTCCCCTTGGAAATAAGTGAAAGAACGGTTGATGTAACACTTTACCTTTCTGATGAAGAGTTAAGAATCTGTGTTACCAAAAAATGTGGGACTTTCATTGAGGTGAATTATAAAAAGGCATGTGCAGTAGCATTAACAGGTTTGTAGTGATTTCTATTCAAGTTGAAAACTCCACAGCACAAATCCACAGTTCTCTGTAATTCACTCCTTTGGAAGGAAACTGAGAACCTCTTCTAGCTGTTTTAGGGCCAGAACCTGCCACTGCTGACTTCATGGGACAAGCTGATACTATATTCCAATTTTGTAGGCTGATTTATAAAACCTGCGCGGGTGGGATCTCTGCGGGGCTGGTGATGAAATTTCAGAAATTTCAGACTAGCTCAAATCTAACACTAGTGAACACTAGTGATACTGAAACGTTGCCAACATCCGGGTGTCCTGCCTGCCGACTTAAAGGCAAACATGTGTGCACAGACACCCTGAGAAACTCCATCCTGGATTCTCCCGGCTCCCAGGCGAACGGGCCCTACCTCCGGCGGCTGGACAAGCTCTCCTCTGTCTCGTTGGTCATCAGGACATGGCTGGTGCCCCCCTGGCTGGCTTCGTGCATGACCTCGATCTAAGCACAGAACAGAAACGGCGCTCAGCTGGCAGGCTGGAGCGCATAGCGGTGCCAGCCGGACTCCTGGGCAGCACAAAGGCGCAGGCAGAAATGAGTTACCTTTTCTCAGGCTCTTTCTTCGGCTGCTACAATGTAAATTATTTTGAGTTTCACGCTAAGGAATGGTTTAGCAGTTGATTTAATAAGAAAATCGCAATAGAAAGAAACTCTAATTACAGTGCAGTGATTTGATGGGAGGTATACCCTACAACAGCAGACGATATTTGTGGCATCGTGTTTCTGAATTTCAAAAGCACAAGGATATCTTAACTGAAATATTTTAACTGAAAACAAATTTTGTTGCAATATTTAATAGGAATACAGTATGTCATACATGCATGTACTCTTAACTTCTCTAAATCTATGCAAATTATCACAAATATTTATTTAAATATCTGACTTTCAAGGTTAGATTCTATGTCTTTTTTCCAAATGAAATTCATTTGCACAAGCAAAACACAGGCCTTGATTTACCTTAATTCCTCCTTTCGTTTTTCGGACATTTTTCCGTTTCGCTATGTCTGCTTCAGTGGGTGCTCTGGGTATACTGGAGGTGTCCGAAACTCTGCGATTTGGTGCTGCAGCAGAGAAAGTTATGTTTCTTCACTAGATGAAACACAGATTATCATTTGAAATAACTGAACTGACGAAAGAGAGGTGGAAGAAAAGACTGAAATCATTTTCAGAGGGATGAGATGGATATAATTTTATGTGCTTGTTTTCGCTAAATCATTTCAATCATGTGGAGTTCACCTATAGAGATTTTAAAATGAACTATTATTTTGTAATATAATACCAGAAACTAATAACCCCAAAAATCATTAAGCTGTATGCTACATTGTTTTCATGCAACAAGTCTGATTAGCCTATTACGGAGTCAATGCTCCTATAACTCCAATGACTAGATTTTATAGTCCAGTGGATTTGAGATGCATTCAAACTTTGTGTGGGCTGTACTTTCGGAGGTTCATTTTGAGACAGTGACTTGGATCTGGTGTCAAACCTCGTTTTCTAAAAATCACAAACAACAGACCATGCCACATGAACACAGGCGGCAATCGACAAGCATGTCAATAACTGCAAGATACAGCAAAGTACCAAGGGTACTGATACAGCTGATGTACACGAAGATCACTTATACTCAAACGTGTGAGAAAACTAAAGATAAACACGGGCTTTATGATTCTTTCACAGTTCCTTAGACATTCAGAAAGACGACTTCTAAATAAAAAACAAACACTTTCTGAACCCAGGGCCTCCAGGGTGGCTTAGCTAGTGAAGGCCAAGGGTGAAGGCCTGGCTCTGCGAGCATGGGTCAGAGTCCAGGCCCAATCAGTAGCCCGGGAGCCTGGGAGGGGAGTGGCCAACCCCCACACCTGCCCCGAAAGAGCTCACGGAGGAGGGCTTGAACTCCCCCCGGCCCACCAGCACGCCGCCCCATGGGATGCAGGGGGGGGGGGAAGGTGTGGTGGGCCGGCTCTCTGTTTTACAGACGACCTGCTGCTAGAGGCAGCTGACGCCCCTATTACTGTAAACAGACACAGCGGGTGACACATAGTTAATCAGATCATTGGTGGTGGTGAAGTCTACATTCTCACGTGGGGTGTAACTGGTACCGTTCGGGGATATTCCGGCTCCACGGTGCGTGTTTGGGTTGGGAGTTTGACAGCAGTATGGGGAAGCTGCTTAAGTGGTCCATTTGTGTATTAACTGAAAATCCCTCCCATAAGGCCTCCTGGACTTACTTTGACGTCCATCGTGAATTTTAATGTGTTGGGATCTCTTGAAGGGATTGGGTCCGTTAGAGTTATGCTTTCCTAACCGGTCCTGACACACACTCATGATCTGTGCTCGATGTGCTCATGCTTGCTTGAAACGTGTCAGAGCTGTAGGTGTTTGGAAACATCTACTCTAGCCAGACACTGTAGCCAGTTCCCAACAGTTCTTCTGGAGACTTGCCTGACGTGACTATGAAATTAACAAGCTATTGACAAAGCGCAGAACTGGCTCAGTGCACCAGCCTCCTCGTGCTTGAAGCCAGTATCGTGCCCTGGTCTCTTACTGGGTCCGCTTGTCCTGGACGTCTTTGGAGAGGAGCGCTTCGGGGACGACTCTGGCCGAGGAGCCACAGGCTGCACAGGCCGTGTCTGCTTGGCCGACAGCTTCTTCAGGCTGGCCTGTCTTTTCTCAAACATTTCCTGCACGTCTTCCAACATCTGCAGGGTTTTCAGGACGTTGCCCTGCCAGGATGAATAAAATGAATAAATGCATGAATCGCCAGCCCAGGAGAGCTGGAGGGCGGGAGAAGAGAGCGACGTCCTGGCCACACCTTGACGGCGGGAGTGAGGATGATCTCGTGCTGATTGTGAAGGTCCTTCAGGCCGCCCACGTCGCTCTCTTTAGCCGTCTCGAGGAACGCTTCGATATCGTTCAGAGCAGCTTCTGCCCCTTCCTGCGACTGGCACTTGTCCACTTGTTGAGAGGCCAGGAGGTAGACGCCGGAGTCACACCACTGCCGCACCTGCACAATGGACACCGTGGACACACCTCGTCATGAGGGAAGCCCATTAAGATCCGAAGCAGCACCCCTGCTTACTGAAAATCTCAGACAATTGTGACCCCAGACTTAGAGGGACAGCAACTGTATATGCTTATTAAAATATACACATTTTTTTTTGTGGTGGATGTATGTTAACAAAATCATACTTAGTGATCCAGAAATAACTCACATTTGCCTCTTCAATGCCTCACATAATACAATAATTACCTTACACACAATGCATCAGTGGCAATCAGTTTCATTTTATTCACTATTATGTTTTCACATATATTTACGTGTGCATTCAGAATGTATGTTCAGCCCTGTCGCTTTTCAAGCTTCAGAGCCAGTTTTTTTCAAGTTGTTTTTCAAGTCATCCAGAATTACCACAGGTGTAGTCTTAAATGTGCAACAGCAAATCGTAATTTGAATACGATAATGAAAGCTAAACATAAGAGAGTTCACATGTATCTGCTTGTCTGCTATAACAATCCACTATTAAACTCACTTTTCGGAATGGAAGGAGCAGAGCTTCTGAACCTGCTGCTGCTCTGAAGGTCAATCGTGCTATAAATACTACTAGAAGCTAAACCACTCAATGCTGCTTTTTGGAAACTGTTTGCCTACTCCACTGTGGTGCCCCTGAGCTGGTTTATTTTAAAGTGGTCTTCCTGTGCCAGCTCATCAGGGCCTGGAGGCAGCCACAGCCACCTCAGGTTTTCCACTTCTCTTCTTCTCTTCAGAACCACAAGGCAATTAAAATGGTGATTATCATAGCATATCTGAGGGTCTGAACGAGAGACCCGTAAGTGACGTATTTAACCACTGTGTTTGTGATTTTTTCAACAGTGACGGTGTAACAGGTGTGGACATTGTCAGTGTACGGCTCTCTCGCAAGCACAGTTATCATCTCCTAAACAATGAGCAGCGTACTGTATGTATTCTTCTGCAAATCGGGAAGCATGGAAAGGAAAAGAATCCAACACACTGCTGTTAGATAGCAGCTGAAGCGTGGGGTATCTGTTTACCTTGTCCATGTGTTTATGGATTTCAAGGGACTTTCCCAGTATGTCATACTTTTTTTTCGCCTCGTTAGTAAAGTCGTCACAGATCCTCCTGAGCTCCACACACTTCGGCCTGATGGAGTCCACAGCGTAATGATTGCTCTGGATGAGCTGGTCTCCGCGCACTGCATACAGCTGTGCTTTTTCCAAGCATTCCTGTAAAACGCACGGCACAGAAGACCATTCATACAAATTATTTCCGAAGGAAAACTGCTTGGTCCCAAGTGGAGACTGGTAGGCTGATTAAACATTTCACACAGTGACCCCAAAGAGAGGTTAATCACAGAGTACCTGTACCTGCAGCATGAACTTCGATGGAAACACAGAGGAAATAACTACAGAGACACTATAAAACTTGGGAATAGGGTTTCACAAAGTAAACGTATCCTGTGAATGACAGTCCCAAGGCAGGACACTGGCACTCAAGACACAGGAACTCCAAGCTGAGCAAACAGTCGGCTATGGATAGACTTACCTGTTGCAAAATGAGGTAAACTAAGTTGCATGCTGTTTACTTCAGAGGAGAAGGAAAGTCAAGGTCTCTGTTACATGTTAATGCCATGTAGTCCATGTTAAGAACCTTTGAAAACAGGACAGGCACCATGGCTATATCCATGTGCATATTTTCTTCATCCCACCTGCCTAAATTTCCCCATTACTTTTATTTGGCAATAAAAGCCTGATCCACTGTGTAGATGGGCTCTTTCTAACTGTGCGATGGAGTCAGCCCCTTCCTGCACACACAGCAATTTTCTGATGCTGGGAGATGGAAATCATTGTGTAAAATTTACAGAATTTTCATTGTTAGATCAGTTTTAGTCTGTAAGGTTTGGTGCAGTGTCTACCTGTGCTTTCTCCTCTAATGTCTTCAGGTCCTTCAGAAGCTGTTCCACGTGAGACACAGAGTCTCCTATGTCTGTGAAAGCAGCCTGGGTTTCCATTAGACCATCTAAAGCCACTTTTACCTGTCGAACAAAAAACAAAAACATTTTTTACAAATAATCATTTCCACCCTTCAAGTCCTTTGCATTTTCTCTCCAGCTAAAAGAAGTTCTGCTACACTCCCAACAAGAAAGAAAGTTGATTTTTCATTTCATATCCATTTAATGTAACAGCATGTCAATCACCTACATGTAATTTCTTATTTTGTCTGCCAATGGTTGTCAGATTTTGTCTGCCAATGGCTGCCTAAGCAATTCTTTCATGAATAGGAGCTGTCAAAGATGTCATGGTTTGAGCAGCAGGTATGTCCACCCCTTCAAGCAAATACCATCCACACTTGACTGACCTCATCACAGTTTGTTTCTGACGAGGTGCTGCTCAGGCTTTAACAGGGCTTAGGGCTGCCTCTGAAGAGCACTGACCTGACAATCGGGGATGATCCCCAAGACTCTCAAGGGGTTAATATCTAGGTTCACCACAGAAAAGTACATTCGCTCTTCAACCCACAAAGTTCAATATTCCAACAATCTCCTTAAAACAGTAATGAAATCATTATACAGTTTCTGATGCTGAAGACCATGGGTGTTTTGCAACAAAATCATGTCTTTCAAAGAAACAGATAATTAACCTTCCGTTCTTCTTCTTCTTAAAACCACTCAACCAGTGATGCCTACTGTATCTGTATCTGAGCTTCTTGTAAAAAGGCTTACCTCGCGAAAGTCTTGTTCAAAATGACGTAACTGCAAGCACTGTTCAAGTTTCAGATGGTGTTTAGACCAAAATTGTTCAAAAGCATTTTCTGTCTCATCCAGCTGCGCCAACAACCTATGACAGAAATATGCCCATTGAAAGCCATTTATTCTCTCTTCTGCTTTCAGTTTGCAATGGAATACTGCACTTGTACACCAACACTGGTCATAAAGCTTTCCATAAAAACAAAACTTCTATAATTTCTTTTGCCCCATTGTGTGTTTTTGTACAGTATGTGGGAAGTGACAATTAATTGTCCCACAACATCATTTTATCTTCGCATGGATTTTCTGTCCCTCCGCCCATCCACACAACCTGTAGATGCTCCCAAGGGCAAGAAGTACAGGAGACTGTCAGGGTGAAATCAGCATAAGGTCATCCTGCGATTGAGGAACTTATTATATAACCACACTCCAGTGTTGAAAACCATGAGAAAAGTGAAAGGACCCTTCAGATATTTTATCAGGTCTGACACAAAGAGTGAACCACCACAGTTCAGTACAGAGTCAGATCAGATACAGAATAACTGAGAATATTCATCATTGTTCAACAGTAGTGGATTCTGTAAAACTGCCGCTGTGTGGCAAAACTTATTACTAAGTTATACATAAAGTGTACATTTAAAACACACACCCTGGATGGTATAGGACAGGTACCACGGGCAGGTATGAAAAACGTGGAGAACGCTGGAGTGCCTTCTAACTCAGATGTAGTTTTGAGATCTATTGTGATATAGACAGTAACGGCCCATCAGTCTAGATGCTCTTGGTTCCCATCAGAGGACGCCAGTCCATCGTGGGGCCGCCCCCCCGCGAGGTTGGTCCACACTCACACAGCTGGGGGGCTGGAGGCACTGGGGCAAAGTACAAAGTGCGACAGCAGTGTCTGCAGCAGGGACTCGAACCCACAACCGCCAGTCACGAGTCCACAGATCCACCCATCACCTTACACTGACCCCCTACATTGCGTAGCAGTTATTTATAACTGAAATAATAATATACTAAAATCCGAAGTTTACAATTACAAACCTTTCCACCGTTGCTACATTCTCCTGCTCATCGGGGTTGAGCTTGTAGTTTGCATTTTTGGTTGCTTGTTCCTTAATACAGGAGAGCAGTGTGGTCCCTTGTTTCATTGCCACTTTCAACTCATCCTGGCACAAGAAAGAAAGGAAAGAATTCAGAGCATAAGAAATGTTATAACTGAGAGACGACCTGAGCAATCAATCTAAAATACAAACAGGAGAGTATTAGATCCACCCATAATAAGGTCCTGGGGAAAGATCATTGGTACAATAAGGTTTAGCTGACAAAGACCACCGAGGCTGACACTGAGTAGCTCGTGTTCAAGGTGCAGCAGGAGACGTTGTAATAGCCCGATCTGTTCTTTCATGTTACAACCTGCTGGATGGCCTCCTCTGCAGAAACAACACAGAGGGTTCTTTTTGCAACAGTTTCTGCAGTGATGTAGAGATGTATAAAGGTGTTCATACTGATTTTTGTGACTTGTTATATGTTTATTTATTTTTTGATATGGACAAAGACATTCCAATTCTCTCACCCTCGTTCACCCTCGATACAGCAACGAGTTTCTGTGTTATACCCGGGAGAAGGGTTATATATCCACTGTACAAGCTAAACCTTTGCTGGTTCCTAATGTTGCTTCCTCGTTACCTGCAGGTCGTTACTCATTGCACCGCTGGACTCGGCAGAACTCAGCCCTGTCCTGCGAGAGGGTGTTTCCCTGCCCAGCCTCTCGTCTTACCTTCAGCTTGTTGTGTTTCTCGGTGTGGGAGCCCAGGAGGGCCTCGGTGCTCTGCACCTCATTCGGGAGCTCCGTCTCCGCCAGATCGGTGCCGAACTTCTGCAGCACCTGCGCCGTGCTCTTCACTGTCACAGCAAAGTTCTCGATGGCCTGCAGAGCCGGGGGCATCGAAGGGCAGACACAGGGTTTAGGACATAAGAATGCTGCTGTGTGTCTCGGGATGATCTGACTCTGCCCTGACTCCAGCGCCCAACACAAGGCAGCCAGGCAGGTAAAAGCAATCAACTGCCGCTGTTACCATTCTAATAAGATAGGTAATCTGCAGATTTGTTAGATTTCAGCACAAAATTCAAACGGGTGGAAAAAAAGTCTATGCGAGGTGTAACTACAGGGTCCCGGCTGACAACGTCACACCTAATAATCAAGCTGCTGTAGGGTATCAGAAACACTGACGTGGTCACATGAGAGATAGACGCTGGAGGGAGCTAGTGCTTGTGAAAGTCAGGAGAGGAGGGTGGGAAGCCTGGACAGGCCAGTGCCCAGCAGACACGCTGCAGAGCCACGGCTGGACCCTGCCTCTCCCCCCCCCATCCGCGCGGCTGGGCCACACTCACCGTCCGGTGGTGGATCCACTGGTTGTGGCAGTACTCCAGGCTGCCCCCCAGCTCGGCCGTCAGCTGGGCTTTATCCACGTAGCCGTGCAGTTCGGAAACCGAGTTCAACATGACGATCTGGAAAAGCAAAGTGGGACCCATGGCTGCACACGCCTCCTGGAGGCACCGGCAGGCCCGGCCCGTGGCGGGATCGCGTCGGCCGTGCCCGTCTCTCGGTGCCGGCGCCCCCGCACGGCAACACCAGCTCAGCATCACGGGAACGGTCCAAACACAGAAACACCCCTCTTTATGAGTGCGGTGGTGGATGATTTGGTGTGGGAGGGGTCGGGACAAGCGGGGTTTCTGTATGGGGGCCCCCAGAACCCCGAACACCCCCCTCCTGAGCTCTTGCTGCAGGCGGTTTGGCGCGGCCTCGCGTGTCATGGAGATCTTGTGGGTGGAAACACTGCGGTACAGGACAGAGCAGGCAGGGAGGGGAATCCCTTTGCTGCTGAACTGCAGAAGACCTATTTTCTTACTTGCATTCACTGAAAGCCAAAAGCCTTCAGAATTGTCAGCACGATTTTATTTATTAAGAGCTTTTAGTCATTCATTCGGAGTGAAGCTTAAGCGTCTCACTGTCTCCATGAACACAAAATGAATGCTGCACGATTAACTAGGACTAAGTCCACTAAAAAGGTAATAATGTGCTATTTATAAGGTAAAGTGCTCCTACTGTAGTTTGATCCTAGTTTGACAGGGACCCAGACAAGTGCTGAAACAGTGTCTTTACAGCTGTGTCCTTTATTTGGCTCCTGGCGAGCACTGGAGCCAGTTCCGCTGTGAGAAATCTGGGTTTGCATACCGGTACATGGAGAATTCAAGCAGCTGAATTCGTATTTCTCTCACACACACCCCACCGCCAGGACGTGCTGCATGTTAGGACACACTGTTTTCACCTTCGGCAAGACGCTCGTGTTCAGGACAGGGACCGACAATATCGCTCAGACCTAGAGGAAAAGGGCACATGCTTACCGGTACCTTCATTTTAAAGTCATCCCGGTGGAGCCTGATTCCAATGTCGGCGATGGCTCTCTGTAAGAAGCGAGAGGGTCGGAGAACCAGAACCAGCTGCAGGTTCCCTGGAAACGCCCCCTAGGGGCCACAAGCAGAAGAGCAGCTGTATAAAACTGTCAGCGGTTGCAAGGTTCGCTCAAAATTAACAGCAATTGGGTTTATGTTTATTTGGTTCATCGGACCAGAGCTCAGGCTGGTTTCTGTGGCATTAAGCAGCCTAGAGAGGATGTGATTCCCCCCCGGGTGGGACTCTGGTCCATCTCAGGGATGATCCCCCCAGCAATACTGGTCCCCACAGCTGAGAGGACTGGAGCCACCGGGGTAAAGTACCTTGCTCAAGGCACAACTGCAGGGACTCGAACCCACAACCCGCCCGTTATGACAAACTACCCACTACACGATATCATCCCCATGCAGCCCGATTCCTGTTGCACTTCACAGAAATCCCTGAAGGATTTTAGGCATTACAGCTAGTGACTGCAGCAGAGCTCTGCTCCCTCCTCTCAGGCCTGCCCAACAGTGCAATACCCCCCACCTACCCTGTCCGGGATGAGTCAGAAGGCCCCCAGCAAAACCAGTCTGGGGAGCATGACTGCTGGTGCAGATTCTCACACAAACCTTTCCAGTAGACTAACGAAATGATGAAATGTACTGTATACTTTTAAAATAAAGAAACACAAAATTCAAGAAGAAATCTCCAAATCTCACCTACAAAACACACACACACAGGGAAGCACAGGTAAACACAAGTGAAGAGCTGTTATGAAGACACAGAGCCACTCACTGCGATCCTCGTCAGCGACGCTTTCACAGCGCTCCATTTGTCTCTCCGCCGGTCGATGATTATAATGAAGCCAATGCTGGCTGCCTCCAGGCTGGACAGAGGAAACAAAGGGTACAGGACAGCTGGCCTATTGAATGTCTGTCATTTCTGCAAGTGGCAGGTACACAACGAACTCTAATGAATCCATTCATTTAAATTGTAGGGGAATATAACAACAGCAAGGTCGCTAACGAGAGGAGGTCCCTCAGACCTTCTTGCTTATTCACTGGTTAAGTACTGAAGTGAAGCTCAAGTTTCATCCAACCGTTTCTTAGATGAGCCCAGAGTCTGGGCCTCAACCACCTGACTGGGAAGCCTTTCCAGACACCCGCTACTCTTCGAGAAAAGAAGAGTTTGTTATTCTCTGTGCCTTTGAGTTTGCAATTGTGATCCCGAGCCCTTGTTTAGCTACTTGGTCCCCTACGCTGACCCTGTACACTTATACTGCACACTCGAATCAAGACTCCTCTTTGTCCTAGACTGAAAAGATTTAGCTCCACAACCCCGTCCACATACTGTATGATGAAAGGATTCATTCTTGCTTATATTTGATCTCTTTCTAAGGCTATACTATTCTCTTTGTGGTGTGGAGACCGAAAGATGCCATCGCATCATCCAGTGGGGCTGCACACTGGTGGTGGTGGATGGGTCCCCATTACCGGTAAAGCACTTTGAGTGGAGTGCCCAGTATAGCACAATACAAGTGTAAGAAATCATTCTTCTTATAGTATTATTATTATTATTATTATTATTGGACATCACTGGACAGGATGCTGCCTTACTGGCTATCTGATTGTTAATGATGGGTATGCTGTAAACCGAATAAAAATATTATTTTAAAACAGTGGACACAGTACTCTAAGTGAGATCTGATTAGTAAATTGTAATTTTAAGTGTAAATTCCCTGGATTCAAATGTTACATTGTTGCTCTGCTCCCAAGCATTCTGTCCACTTTTTTCGTTGTTGCTCCCACTCAGTGTCTGTCTCCTCGGAAGATATTTGCAAGACAAGTCAAGCACCTCCCAGCGCTGAGAGGACAGGTTAGGACCTGGCCTGACTGTTCCAACCACCTGCTGCAATTATTCCATCATATCTATAATATTTAAACCCTGTTCTTTCTCTGATCTGGCACTCTGTCATGGAGCTACCTTCTGACTCGGGTAGTGCTCTCAGCATCACTAGCCTGCTTCCCTTCCAGTGAGAAGTCAGACTGCTCTCCCACCTGCTTCGGCAATCTCTGTCTGCTCTCGGCTGTCTCCGAGCCTGCTCCTGGGCTCTTCGGCCTGTCAGCAAGACACTGCTCTCCATCTGCTCGCTGAGCACCTTGCTGATCTTTCTGCTTTTGCCTCACCCCCTGGTTTTGGATCGTTTGTAAATTTATCTTGTTTGCTAATTAGATTAGAATCTAAATCACGAAGAGCAATGAGCCAGAAACATATCCTTGTGCTGCACCATTGCTCACGACTGCCCAGTGAGAGGAGAAACATGCTCTCTAGAGGTCTATTAATAAATTCCCTTATTTCCAGGACCAGGTCATTTATGATCTCCTTGAGGACCTGAGGGTCAGTTTTGCTGAGAGCCCCCAGTAACATGACTTCATGACAAGGCTGGGCAGCCCTGGTGGAGGCCAGTGTGACAGCAGGCTTTCATTCCAGCTCAGCCCATAACCACCTGAATCAGCTCACTGCTGGCTTACCAGGACCAGACTGGCACACTGTCTCCCCCTGTCTCGCACTGTCTCCCCCTGTCTCCCTTATCTCCCCCAATCTTCCCCCATCTCCCGCTGTCTCCCGCTGTCTCCCGGCTGCCCTCCCTGCTTAGCCCTGCTCTGAAGCAGGTATAAAAACACAAGTCAAATATTTATTTAGCAGGTTTACTGTGTATGAAAATGAGAAGCTAAGCAGGCGTGAGCCTGGTCAGTACCTGGATGGGAGACCTCCTTGGAAAAACTAAGGCCACTGCTGGAATAGGTGTTAGAGAGGCCAGTAGGGGGCGCTCACCCTGCGGTCCATGTGGGTCCTAATGCCCCAGTATAGTGACGGGGACACTGTACTGTAAACAAGCGCCGTCTTTCGTATGAGACATAAAACTGGGGTCCTGACTCTCTGTGGTCATTAAAAATCCCAGGGCGTTTCTTGAAAAGAGTAGGGGTGTAACCCCGGCATCCTGGCCAAATTTCCCATTGGCCCTTACCAATCATGGCCTCCTAATAATCCCCCTCTATGAATTGGCTACTTTACTTTGATCTCCTCCCCCCCCCCCGACGGCAGGTGGAGCGACGCGCCAGTTGGAGTATTTCTCGGTCCTATTTAATGGCAACGTCAGCTCAAAGATTTGGTTCAAACCACCAAATGGAGACGGGCGTGCCGACAAGCGGACCCTGCTGATGCGGGATTAACGCTAGGATGAGAGAGAGACTCTGTATGAAAATGAAAAGATAAATGTTTATTTCCTGCTGAAAGGAAAAGAAAAGCGATACAACGTTTTGGCTGTGGAGCTTCTTTGGGCGCCTCCTTTCTTTTCCTTTCAGCTGGAATAAACCTTCACCTGTTCATCTGCTGCTGTGCATGCTGACGCAGCTCCCTGCTTGATGTTTACTATCTATATATTAAACAATTGTGTCTACATATAGACTAAGTGTATTCTAGTATTGAGATTATACTATAACCTATTATATTTATTCACAATAATAACCTCAAGTTGTTTTTAGAAACTTTATCTTAAGCCAACAGTTATGATTTAACACTTTCAAACGCCCCTGTGCACTTGGCTAAGATAATTACGCTCATTTTAAATGGTCTCTCCAAAAACCTGCAGTGAAACATTTAATGCCAGTGCAGGCTCTGGAGCTTCTCACAAGCTGGTTCAGAGCTGGTTCTCTCACGTGGTTTACAGGTGCCTTTCCTCCTCAGTTCTGTGAGCAGGGCCCGTCTAGGAGCAGGTGTCAGGTGGCTCTGCAGGGCACATCCCAGACTGACACGGGAGGCCTCAGATGTTGACAGTGTGCAGAGCTCGGCAGTTTAATTATTCAGCATGTTGTGCCAGAGCCTCATGCAAACTTTAAGTCAGGCAGCATGGGAGAGGAGTGAGGGAAGCCCATCATAAGATGACTCAAAATGAGAACAGTTCCCTCCCTGCCCTGAAACAGCTGTTGTGACTCAAGTTCAGCTTCGGGATTAAACAGTTGAAGCGGACATTGTTTAGGTGGACTGTGGGAACAAAATAGGATATTCACTCTTCGTGGAACTTCGTGTTTTGCTTAACTGGAAGAAGAGATTAGATTACATATTGGGAGATTTGTATTACAGAATAATGGTGTCACCAGGAAGGAACACACACAAAACAAAACAGGTTTCTCTTCATGAAAGAGGGACAAGTTCTGCGAGTTTTTCTATTTTTCCTTTCTATTCAGAAAAGAGCCTTTCCTGGCACAGCTGGGGTGACTCAGACAGTGAGAGCCTTGGTTGGAGTGCAGGCAGAGCTCTGGTCAGGGGTGTGAGCCTGGGTCATGTCACCAGTCAGCCTGGACTCTCTCAGCTGTGCCAGCTCTGGTGCTGGGCAGGCTCTCCCTCACCGTGTGTCACCCCCTCGGCAGCCAGAGGCGCTCCTTCTCTGTCCTGTCCCTAGTTTCCGGTCTGCTGTCCTTCCTGTCCCTCTCTTTCCCTCGGGCTATATATTTCCGGGTCTTGCACTCTGTCCTCGCTCAGCATTGACGTTCAGATGTCCTGAGACCCGCCTAGCACCAGGGTGCCCCACGTCCGCTCCCTGAGGGCATAGGTTTCTATACGGCATTCCTGTACTCTTTGCACTAATGGGCCCGGGCCTTTTTCCCATCTCGCCGCTTCGCATATGGGTCTTTTTCCGCTCTCCTGTTCCCCACGGTTAGTCCCTCTGGACGTCCGTGACACATGTGGCCTGAAGCTGTGAGCAGGGGTGTGAAAAACACACAACCGGCTCTTCCAAATCACGTGGCTGAAGAGTATAAAAGTTCATAAAGAGCAAAAATTACAGAACTCAATCCCATCTTACCTAGGTATGCTGGTCAGATATGTGACGACATTCAGAAAGTCTTCATCAGGGAGGTCGCCGAACCCGGAGTACTCGGGGAACGTGATGACTGGGGCTCCATCTTTTCCTCTGCCTCCTGCGTAGCATCGAGGAAAAGACCAGTTAGGGGTTTTTATGGCAAAGAATCACAATTATATTCTTATGTAACAAATTAAGGTAAAAGTCAATGAATAGTCTAAGGCAAGACTCAACCACACCCAGACCTGCACAGCCCAGAGAAAAAGCACTCCTGCATTGTTCTGCTCCTGGCCGGTCTTTGATCCAAGAAGCTCAACACGCTGCTACTCGGAGGATACAGGAAATCAGCTTTTCACTTTGTTCCACACACTCACAGAGTGCTTGGGGGATTGGGAAGGTTAGAGATAGTATTAGGAATACAGGTAGGTTTAAGGACAAGTCTACTTTCCATGTTCAGGGATTTAGATAGATAGATAATACTTTATTAATCCCGTAGGGAAATTGATGAAAGGGTTAAGGTTAAAGCTTTAAAGCTAGGGTTTTAATGGCTAGATTCATGTATTTGGGTTAAGACTAGGGATTTACATGGGTCAACTCTGATTGAAAATGTGTATTCACCAGTCAAGACCACAAGACCACAGTACTGCATTTCAGCATACAGAAGCAGTAGTCAGTCACTATCATTCTAAAGTGCCTAAATCTTTCCATCCTGGATCAGAGACCTGATTCGAGTATTCACAATCCTCAAAGGCACTGACAACATCAGCCAAATGTCCAGAATCAGAAGTGAAACACAGTGAAAATGGGGCCATGAGTTGTCTTCTACATAAGGGGCTGTGGGGGTTGTGGATGAACAGGCTTCCCAGCCACGATGTCAGAGCCAATATCCTTGCTTCTTTCAGGAAATGGGAGGATGAGATCCTCAGATCAACAAACTACCAGCAACCCAATTCATTTGTTGGACTGAAAGTCCTTCTCTGTTTCGTAACTTTCCTTTGGTTCCTTTGGACTGAATTGCTCTGAAAGGCAGAAGAAAAAGGTCGCAGAGATCCACCTATCAAACCTATTCAAACACGTACCACTAGGTGGAGCTCTTGGACTAAATACAGACACAACCTCAAACCCGCTGCATTCTTTAAACACTGCTTTGTTTTACGTCGTACGTCAATCCGTCAGCTGAAATGTTAGTTGTAAACCGCATCGCAACTCGTTCAAGAAATACAGCTTGTTTTCTCTTCTTTCTTGCAATTCTGATTTCTAGATTTTTTTTCAGCTTCCCAACTTCTTGAAAAATATGATTGTTCTTAAAACTTTGCTAAAATGTGCTAACAGTCGCAATACTCTTAATTTAAATCTTTAGTTTGTTTTTCTGTCCGTTACTTATTTTAATGTGTATACAATTATGCACAGTAATTGTAATAACATCTATTCAGATTTACACGTTTAATTTTCTGTGCTTTACAATGTATCAGTTGTATTCTCCATGATCCAGGGTGCCATTGGTAGGCTTTCCTTAATACTTAATTACAGCTCCATAACTAATTCTTCCTGACCATTGATGTAAAGTGAACAACAGAGAATAGGGCTAAATCGTTCATCAGTTTTGCGTCACCAAAAAGACGACCTGGGTTTTACATCTCGTGTGAAAAAGGAACACCAGGAGAGTCAGTAACTCCCTCAGAGAACAGCAACACTGTGCACCGTACATCTGTACCACATCTACCTGCAGCCCACGGAAGCAAAATTATAATGAATAAAAACCCCTACCTAAAAAAAGTTGTCATTTTATTTTCATGGGAATAACAATCATTTTCTCCAACATCTCTGCTTGGGGCCAGACTAGCAGAGAGAAGCAGGGTCTGTTTGCGTTCATGTTTGCATTCATGTTCTCAGAGTCTCCCAGGGCTGTCCTAGACCTGCAATTTCCCTCCTGCCTTACAGCCAATCAGTCTCCCACTTCAAAGCCATGGCCCTTGCTTGTGAAAAGACACACATTCTGCACATCCCTGATAAGGGGTCTTTGTCCTCAGTAAAATATTGCCCAACCTCTTCTCACATTCAGAATTTTTTTAAGCATAATGTTTCTTAGACGTATCAAGGATCTCTGTCATGCAGTTCCCTGCCAGTTCATCTTCTTCTTTTTTTCTGACATTCACCACTTTCCTTTACTCTATCAGGAATCATTCTCTCGTACTCAATCATTTATTTACGTTTTTGAGGACAAAAGGAAATTTCTAGTAGTTTTAAACATTGCAGCCTGTCATGTCCTGGCATGAATCTGGCTCCAGGCAGCCCAGCAGGATAAGAGGGAAACTGAAATGTTAGGAGATACAGCTGAATTCAACTCAAAGGATGTTTTGTACAGATTGTAGCCATCATGTAACACAAAGATATTCCTGCTCTGCAATCAGACAAATTCCAGGTAGGAATAAGCTTTTAACCTCAAACAGAGAAGATAAAGGAGAGGACCTGATTCATCCTTCCATCCTTTTCTAGCTGCTTTATCCAGTTAAGGGCTGCATGGGTGCCGGAGTCTATCCCAGCATTTCCTCGGCACACCCAGGACAGAAGTCCGGTCCAGCGCAGGGCACACACACAGCCACACACACACTCACACCAGGGCCAATTCTCCCAGAGGACAGTTAACCTACCAGCGTGCCTTTGGGCTGTGGGAGGAAACCGACGTGGACATGAGGAGGCCATACAAACTCCACACAGACAGCACCCCAGCGCTGTAATTGAATCTGAGGCCCCATAACTGTGAGGTACTGTAGCAATGCTGTCCCCTGCCCCACTGTGCCGCCCGCGGGACATGATTCAAGTATTCAACATTTCCAAAGGTGTCAACGACGTCTTCAGAGTCAGCAGAGAAACACACGCCAGAGGACATCAGTGAAATCCATGGGGAAGTGCATTTAAGACTCTGGAAGCTCTTCTTTACACAGAGAGCTGTGGGGGCCTGGAACAAGCCGTCCACCCATGCAGTTGACACTGGAACTTCGGCTACTTGTCTTTACAAGATTCTAAGACTTATTACTGTATCTGCTAGCAACTGAATGAGCTAGACAGACTGAATACATTCTTGTCATTTGCAAACTGTCTTTTTTTCTTTCTATATTCCATTTCCTGCTACAGTCCAACCAAACAGCCAAGGTAAGCTGCCAAACCTCATGTACAGTATCTGACACACTGATTCACAGTTCTGTAGGACCTGCAAAATCCATGTGAGACTCACAGAAAGCTATTCAAATACACACTTTCTAATCAGCTTTCAGATTTTGAGTAATGCAACGATGTACAAAGGCAGTGTCTGTCAAAAGTCCCTTTGTGTAAGCTCTTCCCTGTCCTTTAGGGTATTTATAAACAGGATTATGCATAATGTCAAACATTCGCTTCACTGACATTAGACCAGTAACTATCCTAGGACTAATACTTCCTTCAAATGCTTGTCAAGAAAAAAAGGCACTTTGACAAAAGGATTTAGATCTGACCAAAAGTTTTTCAAACATCTATCATCAATACTTTAAAAATCAGTACACCCTAACCTAAGGCACCAAGCTAAATACAAAGTTAGTTCCATATACAGTATTAAAAAGCATAAAGTATTCTGGGCTATAGCAGAGCTCTCTAAAAATCAATGAGTCTACCACACCCTTTCTGTAAAATTGTCCCGCAGTACAGTTACACAACTTGGAGTCTTCCACGTACAGCAAGTGCCAGCTTTGCAGTTTTTTCACACACTGAAGTCTGGAGGGTTTACATGGGTGGAAAAGAATGACAGTCGTTCTCTGCTCCGCACAGCTGCTCTGGCACAGGAAGGCCTTTCTCTGGTTGCTGTGCATCGTTCACTTGCAGCAGTTTCCACGGAAACATCTGACTCTCGAGGTCTTGAAAATTCTGCTGCTGGTTACACCAAACACCTCAAGTATCAGACAGCTTGAGTCTCTTATCCAGGGTACAGCAGAGTGAATACTGCAGACATAAGACTCCAGAAGATTAAACAGGTTTTAACCTAAGAAGCCGCCATGCTTGATCTGTGCTATCATGCTAGAGTGCAGAGGAAAGAGGTCTGTGTCTCTGTTGTCCTTCAGTGTCCCTCACAACCTGCTCCTCACAGAAGTACATTTCTCACAGACAGAATCTGCTCCATTTAAAATACATTATTAAATTAAAAAATATATTAAAATTTATGTACCATAAATAATACCACAATTTATAATGTCAAATTCAGTTAACAAATATAATACTGTAATGAGTGTGGAAGAACAGAGTACTGCATTTAATTACTTTTTTCTGTTTCTCTTTACAAAACAGTTTTCATCCATCTAATCTAGCAGGGTCTTTCAACTGCTGTATGTATACAACAGTAGCTTTAGCCAGACACAAAACACAAAAAAGTATGTCTTAACAGCAACCATTTAATGAGTTAAATCTGTAAGCTTAATAGTTCTAAAGCCAAATCTTTTCTTCTTCTCCTTCACTAACATAAAGAAGACCAAACATCTTCATAATTTCTTATTTTGTTCTGTTTCTTCCATTAAATTCTCCCTTGCTATATATTCCACCTTTAAACATTTCCTGAACCTCAGGAAACAGATTTCCTGTCCGTTTCTGTTGCTGTCTGTCTGGTATTGTGTGTTTATGGTAGGATGCAGACTATGAGGAGCCCGCACAGTGCAATCCCAGCTCAACTGAACTGATCTAAGGCAGCTCCCTGAACTCCTCCTCCATCACAGGTAATTTGTTATCTAAGGAATAAGGAATATCATTACAGTCAATACAACATGTGTATTGGCTCTTTGGCCCTGCACACGTTGTTCGATAACCACTCAATATTTTAAACAAAGGCAGCGCACTACAGAACAGCTATGAAATACAAATCCACTGAAACAGCTCATTGAGGAGCTGTTAATTGGGCTCTTTGCGGCTGTATAGCTTCTGACCAGGGATCAGACTATTGCATGAGGAAGGCCTAACCTGCAGCGAATTGTTATCTGCGCCCGGGAGACCAGCCTGTTCTCCTTGAGCCACGACAAGCTGTCGGCCTTCAATCTGCAAACCTATTTCACTGGTTCACAGCAATGTTTTCAGCTTTTTTTATTTCTACACACTTATTCTGCGTCTCATTGTCTAGTTAGGTAACAATTCTCCTAGACCTGCGGTGCTGAGCGCATAAAAACCGCAAAGCTTCAATAAAATATGATTACCATTAAATTATTTTTTTTTATGTATTCTCCCTGCTAAGATAAAGTAATGATTTCAGGTCTTGCAGGCATTTCCTGCTTTGAGCGATCAAAAAGAAAATCAAACACAAGAGGTAACAAAATAAAGCAAACAACATTTTCACAGAGCGCCCAGACCTGCATTTCACCAGGAGATCTGTGTCACTTTCACAATGACGCATTTTAGGAGGTAAGAAGAAAAGGTGTTGTGTGCAGGATAGAAGCAAATGTGTATTTTTCCACACGTTAAAGTTCCTAGCCCAGTCAGTCGGAACTGATGCAAATCTGAGCCATTCATATGGAAATAGTTAATATGTAAAATGCAGGCAGTAATTTACAGTTAGAGTATCTAGAGTTAATGTGTTGAATAAGAATATAACCCACCCAAGAACAGACCCCCAGTGACACAGTCAGGGGAGAAACACATTCTGCGTGTAATTTATCTGTGCAATTTGCCCATGGAGTATTAGGGCACAGACTAACAAGTGTGCACAAGGAGGCAAGTTAGGACTACGGGTTCAAGAGCAAGGACGTGCTCTGTAGGGAAACAGCAGCAATGAAACACAGTCATGGCTGGTATTTACCAAGTGACTGGACATTAAAGGTTAATTATGAAATATGTTCTTATGTAAACAGCTCCTTTAGCTATAAACACTTCAGAAATCGTGTAGGTATGTGTCATTGGTGAATTAGCCGTTGTGTTCCAGTTGTCCAAGGGGAGGAGCTGGTGGTGAAATGTGGCAGCACAGAGCCTGCCAGCGTGTGACAGGGGGGTGCAGACCGTCAGCTGGAGCCGAGCCCTACCTGAGAGGATGGCGAACTGGCGGTGGAGCTGCTCGATGATGTCCACGGCAAGGAGAGGCCGGATCTCCTGCTGCATGATCTCGTCTGGGAGAGAGGAGAGACAGAGCGCAGAGCCAGAGAGTCAAGAGTAGCTTTCGGGATCAGAGCGGCACATTACTGACCAAGGACATCTTCAGGTATTAATACACTGGCTTAGTCATAAGACAATCTCCACAACAGAGAAGATTATGATGCACGGAAAAAACAAAATCTTCGCTACAAGTCCCTTCTTTTGCACGTAACTCTGCTTCTATGGAGTTTCTGGTCACTTTTCTGGCTGCTCAGGACAAAGGGTTCAGTCATCATGCCTGTTCCGTAGCTCAGACTGTAGCGATGGGGGCCTTCCCTTTAAAATTTCATTTGGCCACACAAAACATCTTTTCACAGCTCTGTTCTTCCATATTGAAGACTCTGTTTTTTATGCCAGGGGGGCTCCCTGTCATTCCCATAATCCTTTGCCCTAATGGTTTAGTTCACCCCAAAGCTCACTGAAGCCAAGTACCAAACTTTAAAAGCAAACAAAACCCCTTCTGTGAAACAGTATAAAGCACTGCATTATCGCACTTTATTAAGAGCTTGTTCTTCTCAAGTGAAGATTCACAATGAAGCTAAATATAGAGTAAAGGTTTGAAACGGAGGCAGCAGATCCGCATCGTGTTTGGTAGCTCTAACCATTTCTTAGACTCCCTACTAATTACACAAAGCTCCTGCCAAATATAAACAGCTAACATTATCAAAAATAGTTACAGATGTGAGGCCGATTCTTACACTGCATTTTGTTCTAAAATAAATATCTATAATATGACCAAGAAAAATATAAGAGACAATGGGTGCTTACAGAAAATACTACTAAGAAAAAGAGCTACTAAATATGGAGCTGAGGAAATACACAGTGGTTTTACAGAATAGTTATCAGAGCATGCTTCAATATGCTCTGTTTGTCTAAAGGTATGCGTTTATTAGAAAAACAGAGCTTTAATATTAGAAAGTCCAGACTTTTCATGTGATGGTGAATCTTGGTTATGTAGATGCCTCTTGCCTCTGTCGCAAGGAAAACACCACCAAGTGCTGAATCTGTGACTGGCAGGGAGGAGAGGTTTAGGGTTCTTCTGGTTACAAAGGAAGCCGTTCAAAGAGGGAGAGTTATGTCCTGGCTTCTAAGCAGTGTCTCAGGCAGGTTAAGGGAACCACGACTCCTAAGTACAGAGCAGAGGAGACCATGAGCCAACCTGATAGGAACACATGCAGTAAGTGAAAGTGAACAGGACGAGTGGTGCTCAGGTGTTACGTTGAAATGAAGACTTGAAGACAGAAGAGGAAATCTAGAGGGAACAAGCTCCGAACTTAACCAAGAGATACAAAAGGGTCGTGTCACGATTGTAGTCCGTCCCCCTTAAGGGCGCTCTGGCTCGTTCACTTTTGAGTTGATTTTGTGCCCCTGCTCCCCGTTCCTGCCTCCCTACAAAAGCCAGACGCTCACTCTGTTCTGGGCTCTGCATTGGTTTCTTGAACCAGCCGAGTCCGGGACCTGGAGCGCCTGGTTCCGTCCCCCTTTTTCTCCCAGACCCTTTGCCGGATCCCGCTCCGGTTTTTAACTTTGTCTTGTTCGTCTTGGATTGATCACCCGGCTCTGGACATTTCTCTCACCCCGGACTTCCCTTAAGATCCCTTTTGGACTGTTCACCCTGGACCACACCCCCTGGAGCACCTTCGCCACGCCCCCCCCAGTTCCTCTACCAGCCCAGTTCCTCGTCTCCCCCTGTGTGTGTCACTCCCTACCGGATTGTGTCGTCTGCATAGGGTCCTGAAAGACACTTCGTAACAGGTCATGTCTGAAACAACCTGTGCAGCCATGTTGTTAAAAAAGGTTTCCTGAGCTGCTTCCAGACGCAGCTGCAAGAGCTATTGACACCAAAAAAGCGTGACGGGGCATTTTTTAAATCATCATCCTTTTTTGTCTAAAGTCAAGTCTAGATTAGCCACCTAAATAAGAACCTCTGTACCATTAATCCCTGTTACTTATTAAATAAGAGGTACTGAATTTCACTGAAATGTTGTACATTTTCCTAAGAGATATTCATGGGGAATAAATCAGAGCAATAGTATTTGATTGTCACTAATATGTCCGATTTTTCTGCAGCAAACAGATTCCCAGGATTCCTGGTATCTGCACATATCCCAGGGAATCAAATATTGTCAAAACAATCAGAGTAGTAATACAGTTACAGTTACTGTCTTTGGCTCAGTGAAGCCCTGGTTTCAGGGAGGACTTAACTTAACTAATTAGCACAGCTGTGGCCCATGTTTAATTCTACAGACATTACTGTGTTAACATGACCTCATTCCATACAGCCCTTCTGACTTCTTACATGCCTGACTTCTCCATTGTATTCTGCCACAGCACCTGATAAAAATATGATAAAAATATTTCGGTAGGAAATTCCACATCCAGAACAAAACCAAAACTAGAATTACTTGATGTTTTTTTTCTGTATAAAGAACTACTAACATGGGTTACTTTCCCTTTAATGATAAGCAGTAGAAAATAGAATTGCAGCACACATCAGTGATGTCTGCCACTGGGGCTAAGAGCTGAGACTGCGCTTATATCACCTGCATGACAAACAGGCAACAAAAGTCTTGTACTGGAGAAAAAAAGTCTGTCTGTCAGTTGAATTTGAGCTGAAGAGCAGCGCAAACAAGACTTGAGGTTTAACTCAATTAAAATGATTTATACCCCATAAGACTGGCTTTTCAAATGTTTTGCTCCATTTTGCAACATTTTGATTCACTAGAATTCCCAAACTATGTGATAAAATATCACCGGAGTTCTTCCTTCCTTTGTCTATAGGGCTTCTGACACCTGCAAAATATTTACAGAAATTTTCAGAATACTAGAAACAAAAAAGCTTTTGAAAACCCATCCTGTAAGCTATAACCTAGTGCAGGGCTGGGAATGACAGTAAGAGCATTGCTTTGTTTTCTGACAGATTCTGACAGAGACCTTGGCTCTGACTCTGTACAGATTACAAGGACACTCTGGGTGAGATCAGCACCATGGTAACACACAGCACAGTCTTTCTTAAAGACCCACAGTTAGACTCAAAATGACCAATCCTGATTAGTACATTCTCTCACAAATTTCAGATATAAATAAGCTGCTTTTTACCTCTGGTCACATGATTAAGTGTCTGAACTCCATCAATAACCTTCTGTTTACAGACCAAGGGAAATGGGGTACAGTCTTTGCAAGTAAAAGTAAACATCATAGTAACGTAATATCAAGTACAGTAAATGACAGACTTGATTATCTACTTAAATCTCATATATTATGTATTTCTATGTCTCTTTTTCACTGAATAAAGGGAACTGAAGAGGAGGAGAGGAGAGCTGCTCAGTGTTTGTGCCTTTGACACTGACAGACAGGTACTCTGCAGGAGGCCCTGGGTCACAAGTCTGTATCTTTACCAGTGGGAATGCTGTACAGCCTGTGTGGCACTTTCTCGAAACATATCACACATAGAAATACAGAGAACCCATGTTTAAAACTTTCAACATCCTCCAGATGAAACACTGGGAATCTCGTAAGTTCCTTAGAGTCTGTTTGAGTCGGGCTTGAACAGTACATTATAGCCTGAGTTACAGCATCCTTTCACAACACACCAGCTCTACTCCACCTTTACTCCACTCCACCTCTACTCCCCTCCACCTCTTCTCCACTTCACAACTCTTCCACTACAAATCCACATCATCTCTACTCCACTTCACATCCACTTCATCTTCACTCAACTACACCTCTACTCCACATCATCTCTACTCAGCTCCACCTCTACTCCACATCACATCCACATTATCTCTACTCAACTCCACCTCTACTCCACATCACATCCACATTATCTCTACTCAACTCCACCTCTACTCCACTCTCGATTCCACTTCACATACACATCATCTCTACTCCATTCCATCTCAACTCCACTTCATCTTTACTCCACTCCACCTCTACTCCACTCCACCTTTACCACACTTCACTTCCACTCCACCTCTACTCCACCAGGATGAGATGAAGCTCCAAGTGTTTGCATTCCAGCATCACCTTATTAATACACACCAGGCCTACTGAGGGTAGCCAGCTCTGAGGGATTATTTTTCCAGATGTTCAGTTAAAGGTCCTTGTGCATTAAGAAGGATTATCAGAACCAAAGGGCAATGTACTTGGACAACAGAGTTTCTGTCTCGTGGTTAAATCGCAAGGCTGGCAACCACAATGCATTTCCACAGGCCAGCACATCTCAGACACAGCAACAAGCTAATAATCACTGTGATGTGGTTTTATTAAAAAGAAAGAATATTGTGCATTCATATAATAATGCAGTGTAGAACCACATGAGTGTCATTGCATCCTACATATTACATTGTGTAGTTCTGAACATACCAGATGAAACCAGGCCGCAGAAACATGCAAGCAAACAGACAGTCACCTCACCTCAACTCTTTAACCCCAGGACTAGTGACAGTGACCAGGACAGTGAAATATCATGTTTATTGTCAGCTGTCTCGGAAGGTCATAGGCTTGATCAAAGGCTCTCACACATCTTTACTAAATTCCACTGATTTAAATCACACTCAGAAGAATCTTTCAGTCAGCACGGTCGGTCTTTTACTATGCTATAGTATTTATCTCTCTGTGCTGAGTCAGAACACAACATGAAAGGCAGAGTTAAATAGAGTCAAAAACCTGGCAGCCTTTGTCCATAAACTATGAACGCAGTCTCATAACCAACGAAACACTCACCTATGAGTGGTCTATTTCGCTTCATCATTGTGACAGTGAAGAAGGGCAGGATGCCACCAAAAAAATGAACTAAACATTCCCAAAAAACAGTAACAAAGAGTGTCTGGCCAGTTTTGAGTCCGCTACCATTTTTTTTACTCCTCGGCTTTCTAAACACACCAGCTGTGAATGAGCCTGGACGAGAAGCACATTTTTGTGGGAAGAAACGTCTTCTGTAATTTTTTCCAGCCTAACAGCTCCTCCAACTGTA